TGATAGGCACCATATGAAGAGTTATTACAATTAAAATAAAATAATCACCTAAATGCAATTGAATTCAATTAAATGAGTTGTCATTCTTCTTATCCTTTGATGGCTGACCATGTAGATTGAAAGTGGGTGAATTAAGCTTTAATTTGAGATAATTCTAGCCTTAAATTCGTCCAGAAAGAGGGATGACTCTTGGGTTGCCTTGCTTTTCTTGCAAATGGAAGAAAAGAGGTTAAATGAAGTCATAGGATGAATGTGGACATCCTACATGTCCAAATCAGCTTATCTCTTCAAATTCCTTGCTGATTTTATCACTTAATTTGGTGGTTAAATGAAATAAAATCAGCCTTCATTGCTTGGTCCCTTGTAGAATATGATCAGCCTTCAAAAGATAATAAAGACCTTGAATGATAAGTTTTGAATGCTGGTTATTGCATGTCCCCTTACTTGAACGTGAATGGCCTTCAATGGGTAATAACATCAACCTAGAATGCCTTGAATTGGTGAATTAAGATGGACATCAATTTCTTGTCTCTTAGTTGAAGTTGAAAGGACTCTTCCTTGGCTAAAACTCATCCAAATCATCATTGTATAAAATTCTCGTAATGAAAATTCCAGTCTGCACTGTCTTCACTAAATCGATCATATCTCAAGCTCCCGATATCGGATTGAGGTGATTCAAAAGGCATTGCAAAGCTAAGAGATAGATGAATAATTTCCAATTGAATTTTGGACTCAAACACGTCTGTATCGCATCCAGAATTAGAAGACATTCTGATTGATATTATTGAATCTGCTGAGACTGTTCAACTTCCCTATTGTACCTAGACACAAAATTAATAATGTTTAAGCTTGAATAAAATTAAAAAAAAACATGTTATGAAAACATATAAAGAGCTAGTTTAATTAATGAACTAGTTTAAGTGAATGAACTAGTTTAATTAGTCAACTAGCTTTATTGAATGAAAGAGGATACTTAAATGAAGTAGCTTCATAAAAACCTACATGCTTTGATGAACTCATGCTTAAATGAAGTAGCATGCTTATTTATTTATGCAACTTAATGTCATGCAAATTTATTAACACTCATGCAAATTCATGAACAAGTAAAAGATAAAATTCTCCCTTAAACTTGGTTGTTCCTTCTTCACGTCCCAGCCTTGAGTATGATGGTGGAGGTTCTTCTTTTGGATTGAAAAAGGCTTTCAGAAATCTAAACTTGGCTTGAAATTCCCAGATTAAGCTCAAATAATCTTCTTGAAGCTTCTCGAATATAAAAAACTTGCCTCGATCAAACGGTCTCAAGGAGATTGTTGAAAATGATGTAAGGCACATAGTCGGGATCACATCACCAATGGTCGCTATGGAGGCGACCTGGCTACTAATATCTATATGCCAATGATATCCAAGACAAAGAGCCTACAAGGCAAATGACGGGTGATCATCAAGTGTAGAATCCATAATATTACCCCGAGGAAAATATTTGGTAGCCAAGGAGAGTGAGATTTCATCCATGCAAATTCCGAAATCCAAGACCGCTCGTTCTCCTCGATTGATAAACAGTCTCCCAAGCAACAAGCGACCAACCACGTTCCGAGGAACTATCCGACCACTAACAAAAACGAAGAGTCGGAATAATATCATCAAGAAGATTTTATGAAAATTGCTCTTCGTCCATCGTTTTCACTTTCTTTGACAAACGATGACACCAGCTGTGATATTAACAGTGTTATCGTATGTATTGTTTGTTTCTCATTTATTTTATTCTATCTTTATGGTATATTTTTATATAGTATGCTTTTTTGATTTATTTATACGGTGTAATTCTAGCTTTGCACCTATTTAAGACCGTTGAATGAGTAAAATAGAATGCTGAAATTAGGTCATTATTTTTAGTGAATATATTCTCATTTCATACCGCTAATCTTAATCATCTATTTTGACATATTTAACATTCATAAATATGTGTAAAACTAAAAAGTTTTAATCCAAGCCATCTATTTTCGAGTAAAACAATAGGAAATGAAGAAGATATTCATTGCAGAAAATGTCTAAAGTACAACCTTAGTATTTAAACTATTTCATTTGTTATGTTTTAGTATAGAAACTTTATTTTTTTCCAAAATACACCTAACATTTAGTTTAGGTTTCATTTTGGTACCCTGTTGTTCAAAACTTTAGTAGAAATGTTGAAAACATTTTGATTTTTCGATACAACAAATAAAGTGTTAATGAATTTTAAGATTTATATTCGATTTAAATATAATATTCTATTCAATTAATAGAATATCACAAATATTACTCCAAGTTTTCAAATATCAATTTTTACTCCTTACTAGATGGAAAATTGAGATTTATACTTAAAGTATTTTTGAAATAAGTTTTAAAAGTATTTCGAACCATAATCGAGTCAAAATTGAGTTTTTAATAGGGAAGTAACGATACCTCTTTAACGAGTATCGATACCCCTCAAACATCGAATGCAAAAGAGGTACTGATACCCCTTTATATAGTAGTATTGATACCCCTCATTTTGAATTTTGACTCAGAGAAATAACAGAATGCAAAATGGGTACTGATACCATGACCGGTATTGATACCTCTTTACATAGTAGTATCGATACCCCCTTGAGAGGTGCCGATACCATCAGTTTTGCAACGGTCGAAATATTTGAATTTTATACAGGTAGTATTGATACCCCTATGAAGGAGTACCGATACCCATACGCTCCTAACAACTTTTTGAAGTGGAAAACATACAACAACGGCTCTATTGACTTCATGATCATCCCCAACGTTCAGAATTCATTCAAGGGGTATTTAAACAAGTCTTGAAGCCATTGATGAATAACTAGAAACAAGTTTTGAGAAAGAATTCAAAGAGAGAAAGCCTTAAACTTATTGTTTGAGCAATTCAAGCCAAAATCCTTTCAATATTCATTTTGCTTTCAAGAACACCATTTGTGCTTAATTGTATTCATTCTTGAGTGTTCTTTCTTTGTTCTAGAATTTACCTTGTGTAGTTTTTTGTAAGTTTGTAATTTTCTCTTTAAAAAAAAGTGTCTCAAGAATTTGGGGTATAATTCTTGAGGGAGTTGTAAGGTTACTCTTTGTCCTAAAAAGAAAGACAAATTAGTGAATTTGTGGAAAATCCTTAGTGTAGATAGCTAAGGTAATGGACGTAAACTTTGGTTGAGAAAGTCGAACCACTCTAAATCGCTGTGAAAATCTTTTCAATTTTCTGTCAAAGCTTCCACCAAAATTTTAATTGTCAATTCACCCCCTCTTGGCTATTTCATCCGATCGATTAACTCAACAGTAAATTACATCATTCATCACTCAACTTTTTTCTTACTCCTATTTTAGTCACTAAAGTTAAAAAAATCAATTTAACTACTCAAATTTCAAATTACTCTTGTTTTAATCACTCTAATTTATTTTATTAATATTTTTAAGAGATGACATTTTTATTAATATTTTATTAATATATAAATAAAATAAAAATTTGCATTTAAAATTATACCCAAACCCAAAAAGTATAACACAAACCCTAAATCACAAACCCTCACCCCACCCTCAAGGTCTAACTCTTACTGGCCTCTCCAACCCGCCCCTACCTTTTTTATTTTAATCATATATTAATAAAATAATAATTAAAAGATGTCACGTCATAAAAATATTAATAAAGTAAATTAGAGTAATTAAAATATGAGTAATTTAAAAGTTAAGTGATTAAATTTTAAAAATAAACTTCAATGATCAAAATATGAGTGATAAGATAGTTGAGTGATGAATGATATAATTTACCCCAAAATAAATGTCGGGTACAATAATTTCATTAAGTTTTTAACGGCAAGATACCAAAATGAAGCCTATGTGTGTGCATGCGTGCGTGTATTCTTTAACAAACACCAACTCAAATTAGACGAAAAACAGCTCTACCTAAGTATCCCTTTTTCTCAAAATTATGTATCTCATGAGTTGTTTCCTGGAACTATGAATATGAATGTGATTGCTATCTAAGAATTCCATATTTGGTCCGAGTCTTCAAGACATGCAAACTAGATTGTCCAGATAAAGACACGACAAGATTTTTACAAACAAAATTGAATGCTAGTATGATATTAGCTCAAGCTAAAAAGTAAGAAGGAATACAAAAAAGAATTGCGAAATTTAATGAGTTTTGAGTCTGAACGAAAAAATGAAGAGGAAGACACAAACATCACCGATCAAAATAGTGGATCTCATAGAGGACACTATGACCATCAAAATAATCAATACCAGACAAAAAAATCAAAAATAAAAGTATATGGAAAAACATGGAAGATTTCCTACAAAGAAAACATTATTGTTTTTTGTTACACCAAAACGACGAGGAATAGTAGTAAGTCATGATGGTTCAACGCCATAAAAAAAATTCAATTTCATCAAAACCAATTATTGTGGTTCGAAATTTTCTAAAAAGAAGCAAATGAAGAAACATCACTCCAAAATACTCAAGATTCAAATGTGATGTCTTTTCAAGTCAAAAATTAGATCGAGTCTCTTTCTCAATCTCCAAAAATTGCAATAACGTTGCACTAATGAAAGATGAAAGTCCTCTCCAAAAAATTGTTGATGAAACAATAAAGACTTCAAAAAGTCGAAAGATTATTGTACATAAATCAAAGTCTCACATATATTTTAAAACAAAACATCTCTTCAAGAAATTTTTTCAAAATAAGTAATAATTTCACAAATCTCTATTAAAAAAATCTTCACAATATTTTTCAAATAATGATGTTGAACAAATTCTTCCTTAAAAGGATGATTTTAATTTTTCCAATAAACCACACATTTTGATTAAACAAAATTTTAATGGATTAAAATTCATGTTTTTGTGCTTTTAGTGATCTTGATTAATTTGCATGGGTATCTATCTAACAATTTATGACATGAAATTCAAATGCATATATTCAAACGCACGGTCCAAAACATTAGTGAAATTGTCAAATGACTCTCTGTTCTTATTTTTAAAAAAAGAAAAATGAGAAACCTCGTCCATGCTATGATAACGTACATCTAGCACACGATGAAGATCTCGGCAACAAATTTACAATTTCTCGACAACTTGCCTTGGCCTAACATAACTTCCTCGGCATAAATCTCAAGTGCCATAGTTCTGAGCGCAAAATAGACATTCAAGGCAGGTCTAGTAATCAAGTTTCTTTACGTCGAATACTCGATTTAACAATGCATATGCAACTTTTTCTGTAGGACTGTCTCCCTCAAGGCAGACGAAACCGTCCACACCAGAGGAGGAGGGAACGGGTGTGTCGGCTCTAAGAGAAATGTTCTAGAGGTGATGAAAGTGTGGAAATGGAAGTCGTCACGAAGGATCGGTTTTTTCCTTTATTTGCGCTGCCTCAACATATTGCTCAGCAAGTTTCTTTACCTTGTCACCTTCCTTAACTAAGAAATTGGCATTCTTGGCATTTAAGTGGTATTTCATAACCTTATCGGTGGTTTTTGCCACAGCCCACCTGTACTGTTCAGCCGTTATCACACCGCTCTTACAGAGTGGTCGGATATGTTCTTTGATGTATGCCTCCACCTGTAAAGCATAAGTATGAGCATCAGAATGCAAACCTGAAGAAAGCAAACCCTTCTAAAAAATCATCCATCACCTTGTGTTACATACAGTAACCAAGAAATTTATATTGCATGCATTGGGGAAGAGAAACTAACAGATGTGTTACATATTACCTTCTTTGATACAGAACTAGCACATTCAGACTGCTTGTCCATCTCCATATTGGATTTCTTATCATTCTTTTTAACATCGTCACCGGTTTGAATTTGTTCAGCAGAACTTTCTCTACCAGATGACCCACGACCACGAGGGTTGATAACTTTATCTTCTTCCTTGCTTTCATCTCCTGGTTCAGATGCATCTACAATATGTTGCAATCCATGTTTTCCATTATCTTTATTAGCTGTGGTCTCAGCAGGAAGTTCTGCATCAACCAACCCACGTATCCTTTGGGTTGCTTCCGGAAATTTGTTTACTAGCATCTCTTTATCTGGACCGTATAATTCTTCACATTCTGCAATGGAAAGCTCTTCACCTGCCTCATCAGGTAAGGATTCAAGAACAGTGGAAGGCTTATCAGTACCATCATCATTGTTATTCTTTGGCAAACAGGTGGAATCATCAGGTACTACAATATTCCCCAACTTCTCATGGTCCTCTGCATCTTCAAGGTTATTTGTTTTTGATCTCTCATTGCTAAGAGTTGAGAAAACTACTTTCATTTTTGACGCACCTTCTTCGGATTGCACCTTAAGAGCCTTTTCAGCAGTAACACCAATATAATCTTCATCCTCTAGATCATACTCAAAATCACCATAAATATCTTCCTCCAAATGAGAATCCATCTCAAATATATTATCGGGCTCCTCTTCCAAGGTTTTCGCTGAAGGATCATCTATCTCCTTGGGGACCTCAGTTTTAGGAAGTGGACTAGTTGGAGGGGAATCGGACAAAAGGCCTGCATTTCTAAGTGCTTCCACAACCACAGGGTCTGTCAAACATGCATCAGAACCTTGGTCTTGCCTTATTTCTGAAGGAGATGAAGTATTTGATTCTTTAGCTCTAACACTCCTATTGTAATCTGAACGATGCAATATCTCCTGGGAGCACAAGTTCAGATATACTACTTTTCTGTTTGACCTATCAGCAACCTCTCTTTCAATATTAATTGCATCAGCAACAGCCAACTCTGTTTCTGCAGTTCTACGAATGATCGGCAGATTTGCTTTTTTTAGGAAGTGCTCAGTAAGGCGGTAAAGCTGTGCCTGCACAAATAAATGATTTAGAATCATCCACCTCCAGCTACACTTCTCTAATTTTTGTATCCAAGGATTAAAAGAGTAAAATAGCACTAAAAACAGGATATTCAAGCATGATTATAAGAAAAGAAAGATGCAATACAAGGCACTACCTACCTGCCTAACAGATATTGGGATTTTATTATGTCGACTGGGTGCCGGTGATGGCCTCATGTCTGCTGGTAGCTGAACCTGCTCGCAGCAATCAAAAAGGGAAAAAGGAACAATGAGTATGTTTTACAGCATAAACCTTCAGTTTAAAAAACACAGTCCGCTGAGAACTGTTAAATAAAGATTTTTTCTACATACTAGTAAGGGATAATTTCCTTTAAGTGCTGCATTATCCTCCTGTCCTTCCTGTGTTCCACTTTTGCTCTCTGCAGCCTTTTTCCTTGCAAGCACTGCCAGGGCCAATTTTCTTTTATCGACCTTTACGTCATCAGACTTCGCAGACACTTCCTTGTGCAATTCAACTTTAGAATTCCTTGTTGAAGACCCTTCTGAACCATTACTGGAATCAACTTTACTAGTAGCAGCAGTACCTTTTGAGTTCGAAACACCTGTCTTAGCTCGTTTAAGATCGGTTGACAGAACACCAACCTTTGATGAAACCTTGTTTGCTTCTGTGCTTTTTACAGTATGGTCAAGAGATGGTATATGAGGTTTTCCTTCAACGCCTTGTTCTCTGCTCTGTTCAGAACTACCAGTGGCTTTAAGTGCAGATAAGGGCCTTATGTCATCCTTTCGTGGGAAAACAGATGTATCTGCTAAATACAATCTGGAAAGAATTGAGTTGGATGCCTGGCCTTCAGATGTTGGCCAACTCTCTGAGCCTTCTTTATTCTTTTTTAGGAGGTCAAGAACCGACTTCAAAGTCTCAATCTTTTCAGGCTTTGATGCTCCCATGCAGCGATACTTCCAAAATTCAACTTCACAGTCTCGATCCCATGCTCGTTTCCGCCTTCCATTAGAATCCGCATAGATTTTCTTTGTTAAATTCTCACGTACTTTACCCTTCTGCAACAAGGATTTCTTCATCTTAATAGCTGAAGGTGACAACTTTTTTACAGTTTCAGTTTTTGGTACTGCTATAGCAGCCCGGAAAGCAGCAAGAAGTTGTGGGTCAAAAAGGTTTTCTCCAATTTCTTTAGTGGATTTGTTATGGACAGCCTCTCTAATTTCTTTTCTTAATTTTTTCACAACAGCAGATGCCTCCTTATCATCAGACGCTCTCATGATTTTTTTTACCCTCAAGCCAGCCAAATGTTCTCCTTTCAGGGATTTGTCAGTAGAATTTAGACGTCCAAGCCCCTTGGTAGTTCTCCGGCTTGTCCCCTGAACAATACTCATTACATCAGGAATGGAATCCTTCTTTTCAGGATGATTTTTGATTTTGCATTCTCTGGAAACTGCTTTCAGGGTGGGGCATTTAGGTGTATCGTCGGATACAGATGTATCAACTTTGCTCTCAGGGGCCATATGAACCAATTTCTCAACCCTAATTTTCTTCTCCAAAGTATCACTCTCATTCTTGCATTTGGTTTCCTCACCGTCAGAACTTATAATATCACTCCTAATGCATATCAAGAATCAGGAAGCATAAGTCATGAATGTTAAGCAAAAAGTTAAGAATGCAAATTTTTAAAACAGGAAAATAAATTAGAAGTACAGATCGTAAAGAACAAACAAACAGCAAAACTTCCACACACACCCACACTCACCATCCCTGGAAAATATAGATGAGAAGAATACACTAGCAGCATAGGTAAAAAGTCACAAAATTTAAGCAACATAACAGAAGTAATATTTGCCCAAAAGAAATATTTCCACCACTCACTCCCTCAAAGACGATAGAAAAAGGAATATATAATATAGCCACGAGCAAGTAGTGACATAGGTAAAATATAATGAGTTCAAAACAACATATATAGAAATATTACTTGTCAAAAACCACATGATATACATGCATGTGTGTGTGTGTGTGTGTGTGTATGCACATATGCAAGTATGCACGAGTGTGTGAAGACAATGGACATATTGAAAAAGAAGCAACCTGAAATATGGATTCTTCCTCTTTAAACCAGTAACAGTGCCAGCATTTTCCTTGTCAACAAGCTCAGTTTTCTCATCTGAAAGCAGACAAGAAGGCAGTTTGCATTATACTTGCATAAATTGCTTAAAAGTATCTTGCATACCTAACTGTAAGGTAAATACTAGAATAAGAGAGAAAATGTATCAAGGCAGGAAGAATGCATCAAAATAACTTTCATATTACCTATTGGCAACAGTTCTTCCATGTGACTCTGATGCTCGAACTCTAAATTCACCTGGTCTTTGCTTCCACTGCTTTTGATATTAGCATCAACTGTAAGCACAATGTTGAGATGTTTAAATGTGTATTACATAAATAGCTTAAAAGCATCTTGCTTAATTACCTGTAAGGTAAATACTAAAATAAGAGAAAATGTATCGAGATAACTTTCATATTACCTATTGGCAACAGTTCTTCCACGTGACTCTGATGCCCAAGCTCTAAATTCACCTGGTCTTTGCTTCCACTGCTTTTCGCATCATCATCAACTGTAAGCACAATGTTGAGATGTTGAAATGTGTATAAGATACAAACTTGAGTCCTACGCTGTAATGGCCCTGCTATGAATTTTAAAAGATAAAGATAGCTACATAATTAACTTACAAGACTGCAACGAACCTATTGATAAACCAAGATTAAGGCCGACGCTGGATTTGGTTTCAGATAATTGGTTCCTCATGTAGGATTTGTTCAGTGACTTTCCTGAGGTATTTCCAACACCATCTAACCTGCTTGCTTCTTTTATTGTATCTGAAGCTTTACTTGTCTTGAACTCACCGAGCACTGAAGACTTTGAAAGTGAAGTGGACAAGGAATTGCGTGATAAAGAAAGCTCCAGCTCCTGCCCCTCCAAGATTGGTTGAACAGATGCCTTTTCCATATCACAGCAATTTCCTCCAGAGCTAGATAGCTCAATTTTCTGGTGATTGCCGACTTCAACGCTTGACAAAAGGTTTTCACTTGGCTCTTCAATCCACTGATTCCCTTCAACCATTGAGACAACAACAGCTGTATCACCAGTGTCTGCAACAGAAACAGACAACTTCCCGGAGAAAGTGGTATCCATCACATATTCACCATTAGTAATATCTGGATCATGCTGGGTGCTTGCTTTCTCAGGAATCAGAACAGAGTTTTGTGAAGCTTGATTTAGTGCACATCTACGATAAAGTAAAGAAAATATCATAAATCTTAGAAGGAAAAGTGGAAAGTAGACACTAAAAAGTTCTGGGTGGATTGATATAGGTTGAAATTAAAGTCAAACACACCATAAGCCACATTACAACTTGAAACTTAGATGAATTTTAAACCAAATTAGCACAAGATTTTGAACTAAATCAGATATGAATCCCCCCTTAGAGTTATTGAGATTGCTACCAGTTAATGTAAACCATTAAAGGAGCTTCAACGTAGTCAATTCCAACAAAAATATATTACACTATGAATTAAACTCTCAAAAGATTCTATGCATCTTGGCTACATGCTACTTTATTGTAGGACATCTAGAGGACCATGATGAAGTGAGGAATCAAAATGCAACACCAAACCACACTAATCGCTCTCTTCAAATCTACCTTGGGCACAACCAAGTGTCTTCTGATGTGCCTTCAGTATCAAAACCCACACAAAAAGCATGGTACCTGTCACCATTCCAAGTTGAGAAACAATTAAGAGAGAACATTTTTACAAATTAACATTACCCAAACTAGAAGAAACTCAAACAAAGCAAAAGGAAAACACAGAACACCGAAAGTCAAAGAAATAAGTAATGATAAAGGGAAAAGATCCAAATCTACTGTCACCATTCCAAACAGAGAAACAATTAAGAGATGACATCAATACATCATCACAACTTAACATTAACTAAGCTATACTAGAGAAAGCTAAAACAAAGAACAAGTAAAATCGAAGTAATAAATAATGAGAAAGGATTAGATCCAAATGTACTACACTACTTAAGGTTAGGGTGATGAATCAAACTTATTTTTCAGTGTTGAAATTTTGCCATTGTAGTTTCTACTTGGTTAAAAAATGATCTAAAGTTAGAATATCCTGTAGGATATTTCTATATTTTCTAAAATAATATTCTTTTACTGTAAACTTTTGAACAATTTTAACCAAATTAGAGAGTATAAGCAATAAAATTAGACTGATTCAAGGATGAGTCGTATATCTGATACATCACCCTGATTAGAGTGGCAATTTGAACCTTACCCCAATGACAACATGCTCCCTCCGTCCCATTATTTTTGTCCAATATTGACTAAACATATAGTTTGGAAGTTAATTTGAACACATGCCAAGTCATATAAAATAAGAGAAATGACAACATTAACCCCAAAAAGTGATTGATAGATTTGATAAATTTGTTTTGATGGGACAATATGATAAAGGGTGAAAAAGAAATATAAATGTTGTTATTTTTTGGCTTTTCTAATAGGACATTTTGAAAGGGACAATTTCAAAATCCAAAATATTCAAATTTAGTGTGAGGGAGGAAGTATTTACAAACCAAGAAAAATACAGACATACGAGGAAAAATATAAATTTGAAATCTAATAAAAGGTTCAATCTTACCATATATCACAAGAGTCGCAAGCAATTGATGTATCGAGATCGGGATCTCCCTCAATGGTGGTGGATAGACTTCGAACTTTGCAGCCATCTCCATCCAAGCAGATAACTGACTACAAAAAGAAAGTCATGTGAGTTTGTTTATGGTGAATGCCATTCACTACAAGTTCGTGGACAAAATGAAAATAAACAAATTGTTAAATATAAGTTCTATCATCCTTAAAATAAGACTATATTCTGGATGGAGTTTCTGTTGTCCCAGACAAAGAATCAAAGTACATCTGCAATAGATTCAAACTAATATTGCCATCACATTGACATCTTTTATCTTATAGTCACATCAAAGATCAATCTGTGCCACTTGACAAATGCATCTTAACAGATTGTCAAAGTTAAAACTATATCAACTATTAGGAATAAACAATACTATGTAGGAAAATTACATTTTCATCAATGTAGTATGACGGGAATGAAAGAGTGTTGCTCTTCCCTTCAATGGACCAATCATCATCTCTGCATATATAAAAAGAGAAAGAAATCAAAATCAGAACATAAGAGAAGAATCTTAGCAACTCAATCAACAGAGTTCTTCATAAAAATAAGTACATATTGTATCATAAAGGATCATTTTCCAAATTGCTTAATCACTAAATTTTCTTACTTGAAATCCAGAATGTCAATATTATACATAAGATATGAATTTCCAATCAACATGGGTAACCTCCGGTAAATAACAAATGCTACACAGTTGTAATATGCTGTTTCATGTTAACCTTGAAAGATGAATTCATTCATTAATATATTGAAGGACTTCAAAACAAGCAAGAAACTATACAGACACCAACATGGAATTTCAAGACTCAAACTAAACTAGGATTTTTTTCCTTTTTGCGGACAAACAAAAGTAAGAGATGGAAGAAAGTAGAATTCGAAAGTACCTGGAAAATGAATCACCCTCGACTTTATTGCTTCCAATGGTATCATATACCTTCATAATCAACACGATAAATCATATTTTCTAATCACTATATTTTCTATACTTTCAAAACAATTTCAAAGCAACAATAAGTTAAAGCAGCCCAAGTGTGGCCATTTAGAGAAAAAAATAAGTTTTGCAAAAACAACTAGCAGAAAAAGATGGAGAAAAATCAATGCTTTAAGAATTTTGCATCACCCACCGGAACGCAGGTGATCAACTGAAATTCACTTTGGCAAAGAGGGCAAAGGTTTGTGATTGTTGCCCAGTTGTCAATACATGCGAAACAGAACCTGAAATTTGCAAGAGGAACGCACATCATCACATTTGTATTCAGACCATGAAACAGGATTCATCGAATTCAGAAAACTAATTGAATCTCAAAATCAATCTGAATGAAATGTCACTGAATCAAAACCACCAAAGTAGAGAGTGGAAACAAAATAAAACTGTAGCTTCTTCAGCTTAACTTTACTCCATGAGGAAGAAGATTCAAGACTAGTTAGAGAACTAAATATCTAACCACTCTAATAGAGAGCAAAGAAAAAAAAGCTTTGCAGCCACTATGTTAACTAACTAGAAATGCCGCAGGGGATAAAATTGAAAATAGAAAAAAACTAAAAAAGAATTTTCAAAAATTACCAGTGTTTACAACAACAACAAAAATTACCAGTGTTGACAGCAATCAAGGACTCCCCTGTCAATAATGATATCCATGCATATCCCGCATCTTCCGCCCTCGAAATTAGAAAGATCCTGCAGTTTTCAGCTTTCAAGTTACAGTATATATATAATACAATTCGAAACAAAAATAAATGATGAAGTAAAATAAATAAACAAATTAGTAATAATTAAACTAGAAGCTTACATTGTTCTGATCAATAAATGGAATATCATCCTCGTCCGAAATCCCACTTGCAATGAAATCCATATCCATTTGATCTTTCCAAAAAATACAAACCTGTCCGGATTAAATTAAAACTTGCAAAAACAACAGCAATCAGCCAATGAAATATCAAAATCATCTAAAAACTTGAATGATAAAAAACTAGGCATACTCTGGATCATCCAGGTGTGTGTATGTAGGGTTTTCGGAAAGCTTGATTCAGTGGGTAACCTCGTAGAAATAGGATTTTGAAGAAGGTTTAGGAGGTCAATCCAATTAATAAAGCAAAAGTTCTTTATTAATAATGATTAATTACCCTTTTAAGCAACAAGATCAGAAACGATTGAAAGAAGAGTCCGTCATTCCCTTTCTCGTGCCTTTCTCGATGAAGGGATGTTGATCAGGACGAAGAGAAGGGTACTACTGTAATTTCGAATTTAAAAAATTGAAACTTATTATGAGTTATGAGTCATTGTAGTAAATGTCGTAAATTTCAAAAAAAAAATATCTGATACAATATTAGGCAAAATAATTAGTCCGGTTACGGTATTGGGCCGAAATTCCCTAAGGTTTTGTATAAATTAAGTACGTTAGGGAATATATTGCAACTAAAACCATAACCACGTTGTTGGGTTTCTTAAGAGCACGGTTGATGACTACGTCAGTGTACCATGGACCTCAGAACGGAGCCCAATTGTAGTTGCAGTGGATCGTCGGTGACCGGGATCTGGTGGGCTTTCGTTTAGACTTTTTCTTGTTGTAAATTATCAAAACAAAAGAAAAGAAAATAAAACAAAAAGGTGAAGAGTTTTACCCTTCGGGTTTCCCTCGGTGATAGCTTATGTGGTCGGACAGTCATTTCAAACGGTGATCACGAAAGAATGATAAACCGATGAACAAAGTCTAATTTCAAGCCCATCAGAAGATTGACGACGGAGATAAAATGATAAAGATATTGAAGAGTCTATCGTCGATTTGGGAAGATTGAAGTGTTTCTCAATGAAACAAATGTTAGAATAACGTTCAGGGAGACGGAAAAGTGCAAACCGAAAACTTTGAGTTTTATTGACCAACAAATGTGACAGCTTATGACTGTAGACGTGACGATCGACGGTAGTCGATGATTTTAGATGCAACAACCTATGTAACTTCTATCAATTTATGATAAAGAGGGGAGTTTCTAGATAATAATATAAATAATAACTTAACTAAGAAAATATTTAAAATATGTCACGCTAACTCTGTCGTTAAGCTTTTAATGAAAATGTATTAAAATGAAATAAATACTAAATACTAAATATGATTTAAGAAAAAATAAAAGTTTAAATAATATAGTAGCCGATTTACCCTTTATTTTATCTTTCACCATTTTCTCCTAATATAGCCAAATTTGTGACGGTACACCCAAAATCTGAAAAGAAGCGAAGTTAACCGTCAGGTCTCTTTCAGAAACGCCACGTGTACGACAACCTTGTCGTCTTAACGGTGGCAACCACTTTATGATTTTTGTAAAAAGGACACGTGTCCATCTCTGAAACATCTAAGCTTATTCTAAAAAATTAACCCTCTGGCGGTGACTTAAGGTTTCTTTAATGAGAGTGACCACCGAGGGTTAATTAAAAATAACCTAATAATTTTTGTTGAATGAATAATTAACTACTCGTATTGTCTTCGACACCACCGACCGTCTATGACTAGGAATTTTATTATTTTTAAAATATTAAAAAAATGAATACTTTATGAAGACACTAAATTTTATCGGTTTTAAATGATGTTGTTATATTATATGATAGTTACTAACTATATTATATAATATACATACTTATGTATTTTTTATGTTTGTATACAGGCCAATCACAAACAAAACCAACATCACGTGTAGCCCAAACCCGTAGAAGATCAGGGTTTTCAGAAACCCTAACCCCACTCTTGCCTCCAGCCGCCAGCAACAGTGGCCGTTGGATCTAGACGAGATCCAACGGTCCATAATGGAGATATTTAGGGTTGTCTCAAACCCTAGCCAAGAGCTTCACCCTAGCGCCGCACAGCTTTGTTCGAGAAGCCCTTACGCCTCACGCATCCCAGCTGCTCGGTCAAACATCATCCTCACGCCTCCCACGACTGCACGACTCTCGGTCCCGAGATATCCGGAAACAAACAAGAACAATAAAGTTTGATTAGGACTCAAAGTTGTCATTTTTTTCTAGTATAAATACATGTAATCAACAGAGAGAGGGGGGAGAGTTGATACTACGAATTTGGCAAGAAAGTCACACGAAATATTGAGAGAAATATCAAGCAATTTCGAAGCCTTTTGTAACAATTTCGAAAAGGAAATAAGAAGAAGGTAGCATCTTTTACCTCTGTTCACTCGTCTTTCACTGTTGCATGTTGAGTGTTGCTTGAGATTTGACTTCAAAACCACACAAAAAAAAACGTTTTGGCCGATGAACGAAGTGAGGCCTTTATTTTCGAAACCTATTTCCCAGATTTGCGTTTTTTTAAGGCGATTTTCGAAGATCTACTGTGATTTTTGGGCTGTGGGAAGAGAATGGATTTTAAAGAAACGTGTTTCATGGTGGACCATCGCCGATGAGCGGCGGCGAGGCGGTGGCCACCATTCTCAGGCGGCGCACGACCCTTGTTCTTGGACCTCAAGAACATTACAGAGAAATGTTAGGGAGACGAGAGAAGGCTCTCGTGTGAGGAGATGACAAATGAAGCATTTTCTGAAAATTTTGACTTAAATACTAAAACCATCCGACTATCAGGACCCGACTCGGCCGACCCGCGTGTTTCTGTTCAGCAAAGGGTAAACTACCCTTTTGGTCCCTCGTTGATTTTAAAGGGTTATTTTAACCCCAATTTTACCTTATATTGATTTCTAATTTTGATTTTCTTTTGATTTGGCCACCCAACTTGTTTTTTTATTCAATTTAACCCATTTTTATTTTGTTACATATACATATATTTTTTAATATTTTATCTATACCTATTATTAATATATATATATATGTATATATTTAATTTTTTTCCTTATTTAAAGTACTATAGCTTATAATTATATCTATATTTTTTTTTTCTATTCTTCTATTTCATTATTGTTTTGTTTTTTTATTACTATTCTAATATCTTATAATTATATGTATATATATGCTTTTCTATTTATATTTTTTTCCCGATTTTTACTACATTTATATTTTTTTTATTCTTGTCTTTATTATTATTTATATTATTATTATTTATATTATTATTATATATATTATTATTATATATATTACTAACCAAACTTTTTCTTTTTCTCTCTAGCCCCCATGTCCCCTCTTTTTGACCAATCTATTTTTTTCGGTGAAAATCCATTAGTTAGGAGAACATTGAAGCATAATTATTAACACCATGGGACCCTTAAAGCCTATTAGCTAAAGGCATCTTCTTTTGACAAAAATAACTAAACATGCAACCCACACGTCTTCCTCTTTTATTATTCTTTTTTTTACCCCTTAATTTTGTTTTTATTGTAATTTTATCCCCTATTTATATATATATATATATATATATATATAATTATTTTTTTTATTCTCTATATTTCTTTTTGGTTCTTACTACTCTTTTTATTATCTTTTTACTTTATTCTATTTTCTTTATTAACTTCTTTGTTTCATCTTTATTTTTATTTTTATTTCGTTTATCTTCTTTATCTTATTTTCATTTATTTTTATTTACCTTTACTTAATCCTTTTTATTTTCTTTATCTTTTTATCTCTGTATTATTTTCTTTATTTTATTTGTTTTTATTTTCTCATTTTTTTATCTAACACTTTTCTTGATTCTTTAAAAGTATGTTTCAAAAAACAGTTAAAGGTAAGTAATTCGGATAGTCATTTTACCTTTTAATTTAAAATTACAATTTTCTTAAATAAAGACAACTGGAAATTATATAGTACCGAAAGGGCAGTTCAAGGGTGCTAACCCTTCCTTGACTGTAACTGACTCCCGAATCTGACACATCTTTGGTAAGACGCAGATCAGGTGAGAATTAAGGTATCCGGTCAACCCATTTTTTTATAAAATAAATGATCGGTGGCGACTCCAATCCACATTTTTCAAGTCGAAGCCCAATTCCGGGGCCCAACCGAAAGACGGTTCCGACAGCTTGGCGACTCTGCTGGGGACACAGGTGAGTGAGTCAGGCTAAGGTAATTTCCAGTTGTCTTTTTAACGAAAAGGGTAAGTTTAAATTTTAAGGTAATATTTCGATCCTTATTACTTATTTTTGATTATATTTTTTCGAGTAAATAGTTGGACTGATCGTTTTCTAATGATTTCAGCTTTCCAAACATTTTTCATCTAAGGCTCTAAACCCAAGCTCCGAACCTGTTTTAAGTGGGGGTGAAAGCGACGCCTTCGTGTGAATTTATTCACCGTATGGGCCTAGCAAGTAGCCTTCGGGATTCATATACCTTATGCCTTTGTGTGAATTTATTCTCCGTATGGGCATAAGGGAATGTGTCCTCTTGAGTTTAACTTAGTCCACACAAGCCTGTGATGGGTTTCGGACTAAGGGTCTGGTCGGCCCAAGGGGGCGCCAGCAAGGAGAACTCGAGTACCGTTTTTAGAACCTAAACCGGGAGACTTTGAATAAATAGAGCCTACCCCAAAACCACATTCCAAAACCTAGGACATTTCTTTCCTAACCTTTTTTTTTTGTTTTGTCCTTATGTTTTTTCCTTTACCATTTATTATTATTTTTTTATTTCTATTTTACTAACCTTTTTGCCTTTTTGTTTGTTTTTAGCATTTGCATCATAACAAGAGGCCATTGATCCCTAAAAAGGTGTTTATTAAAACTCAAATAATCTGAATTCATGGACAAAGGTGTTGTAATACAAGAGATTGAAAACGCTGAGGCACGACTATGGTCCGAGAAGACTCAAAGTGAAAAGGGAGACAGTCTTCAACGAAGCTATGTGTCAGAGTTGGTTCGCTACACCCCTATCAGCCTAAAACAGAACAATGTACAAGAGCTTCGAGACATCTGGGACAGTTGGAAGAATGATCGGAGACAGAAGTTCAGCCAACGGTACGGTGACATTGCACTCTTGCTTCATGTTAAGACTGATGAGCCCTTAATCAGAGCCATGGTTCAATTCTGGAACCCAGGATATAGTTGCTTCACTTTTAACCAAGAGGACATGGTGCCCACCATCGAAGAATACACTACACTGCTGCATTGTGAAAGCATCAAGCTAGAGCAAGCCTACATTAAACACATCAAAAGCCAGCCCTTC